TCTTTTTTCTCTGAGATTTTCTCAGGATCGTGATTTTTCTCTTCTTTCTCTGAGACTTTTTGACGATCGTGACTATCCAGTTTTTTATCTGAGACTGTCTGAGATCTGTGGCTATTCTCTTCTGTCTCTAGCGCACTGTGAAGATCATGAATAGCCTCACCCTGTGTTTCGGTCTTGACTGAGTTGTGACTCTTGGGTGAAGACACACCCCCTGTGTTTTCAAGTTCTGCTTCGCACTCCGTTTTAAAAACTTGGTTAGAAGACACTTCAGTAACAGGAGGTCTGGCTGATTTCCTTTGAATCAGTTCCTCTAGCTGCTCAGCATTAAAAAATAGCTTGAACCCATTTTTAACAACATCCTCGTGACGCATGCGATGCACAGTCAAATAGTGACGTTGCAAGCTGCGCATGTATATGACAACAGAATCGCAGTTCTGAACCATGCATGGGTGGGCAACAGGCATGCAGCGGTCTTGACACATCTGTAGTGCCTCTTCATGAGATCTAAGGACAAAACGACTGAAACTATCATTTGAGTCTCCCTCAAGATCTATGTCGCCCTTTTCTTCTGACTGGGCTGCTACGTCTTGACCACTGGATCTCTCCTGTGGAGTGGGTGAACTAGTTTCTTCTTTCTGGGGCCTCTGTGGCATCACTATGAGCTTCTTTTGGCACCCAGTGACTGACTTTTTATGACTGCTCTGTAGTCGAACCACCAGTGAATCGTAGTACTCGCAGTGACTATAAAGTGTATGTTTTTTAAGCGCATCATTATGGCTGAACACCTTTGAGCAGCCGTCAAATTTGCACTTTATTAGCCCAGGTGGCTGAGAGTGGTAATCACGAGTGTGACGCACAAGGCTGCTTTTAAGGTGGTAGGAGGCGTTACAGTTAGCAAAGTGACATTTGAACTGGGGCTGAGGTTCATCCGAGTTTGGGGGAAGTCTTTTCTTTGCAGGATCCTTTCTGACATCTGGACTCTGCTGCACTTTACCATCGTTTTCCAACAAAAGCTGAGAGCGATTGTAATGATGCACTAATTGTAGGTGGCGTACAAGGCCTCCTTGGGTGTTAAAAGCTGCATCACAGTTTTTCGCCACACAATGAAAAGGTTTACTGAATTTATCCAGTATATAGCACATGTTACTTTTGGCCATCAATCGTCTATTTCGGAGCTTTTGTGTCATCTCGTCCTTATTCTGTCCTTTCTGCTCATTATCTTCTCCTTCCTCTCCAAATGGAGAATGACTGTCAATGTTTTGTCCATTTTTGCCAACTACGCTAGAGTTATTTGCCTCATTCAGGTGTTCCTGTTTAGGGCTTTCACACTTAACTTTTGGCCCGTGACGGTTAAAGGGCTGAGATGTTTGCTTTGTTGAACATGTAGGTGTCTCACTTCCTTCATACTGTGTATATGCATTGCTTATTTTGGATAACAAATGCTCACTTAATTTATGGGTGTTTAAGTAGTGGACCTTCAGCACACGCTTTTCTCTGACACTCTTCGGACAAAGATGGCACTTGTAAGGCTGAAAAGAGGGTATCAATCTTTTGGCTTCTTCTAAACGGTAGCTATGTACAGTGTTATAGTGGCGCTGTAAGCTGTAAGACTGACCACTCTTAAAGCCACACCCTTTGTTTTTACAGATATATGGCCTAGCTGAAGCTAACAACTCAATAGCCTTTTTGTCAGCAGTTTCAAATGGTTCAATTTTGACTTTGACTTTTCCCTCAGACGGTTGTAGTCTCTTCTTAAGCAAGGTTGGTTCAGTTTGGACTTTGACCTTTTCCTCAGACGGTTGTAGTCTCTTCTTAAGCAAGTTTGGTTCAGTTTGGACTTTGACCTTTTCC